ACACACGCACGCGCACGCTGCACCTCACCACCTGCCGCACTGCACACGCTGCGCTCAGCAACTGCAAATATCACACGCACACGCACATGCTGCAACTCAGCACCTGCCGCACTGCACACGCTGCGCTCAGCAACTGCAAATATCACACGCACACGCACATGCTGCAACTCAGCACCTGCCGCACTGCACACGCTGCGCTCAGCAACTGCAAATACCGCACCGCATCTGCTACTGCACTCAGCAACTGCAAACATCACACGCACGCGCTGCAACTCAGCACCTGCCGCACTGCACACACTGCGCTCAGCAACTGCAAATATCACACGCACATGCTGCAACTCAGCACCTGCCGCACTGCACACGCTGCGCTCAGCAACCGCAAATACCGCACCGTAGCCACAGACTGCGCTCAGCAACTGCAAACATCACACGCACACGCACACGCTGCAACTCAGCACCTGCCGCACTGCACACGCTGCGCTCAGCAACTGCAAATATCACACGCACACGCACATGCTGCAACTCAGCACCTGCCGCACTGCACACGCTGCGCTCAGCAACTGCAAATACCGCACCGCATCTGCTACTGCACTCAGCAACTGCAAACATCACACGCACGCGCTGCAACTCAGCACCTGCCGCACTGCACATGCACACGCTACGCTCAGCGACTGCAAATATAACACGGACGCGCTGCAACTCAGCACCTGCCGCACTGCACACGCTGCGCTCAGCAACTGCAAATACCGCACCACACGCACACGCTGCAACTCAGCACCTGCTGCACTGCACGTGCACACGCTGCGCTCAGCAACTGCAAATATTGCACTGCACGTGCACACGCTGCGGTCAGCGACTGCAAATATTGCACTGCACGTGCATACGCTGCGCTCAGCAACTGCAAATATCACACGCACGCGCTGCAACTCAGCACCTGCCACACTGCACACGCTGCGCTCAGCAACTGCAAATACCGCACCGCATCTGCTACTGCACTCAGCAACTGCAAACATCACACGCACACGCTGCAACTCAGCACTGGCCGCACTGCACATGCACACGCTGCGCTCAGCAACTGCAAATACTGCACTGCACATGCACACGCTGCGCTCAGCAACTGCAAATACTGCACTGCACGTGCACACGCTGCGCTCAGCAACTGCAAATATCACATGCACGCGCTGCAACTCAGCACCTGCCACACTGCACACGCTGCGCTCAGCAACTGCAAATACCGCACCACACGCACACGCTGCAACTCAGCACCTGCTGCACTGCACGTGCACACACTGCACTCAGCAACTGCAAATATTGCACTGCACGTGCACACGCTGCGCTCAGCAACTGCAAATATCACACGCACACGCTGCAACTCAGCACCTGCCGCACTGCACACGCTGCGCTCAGCAACTGCAAATATCACACCACACGCACACGCTGCAACTCGGCACCTGCCGCCCTGCACGCTTAGCAATAGCAACTGCTTCATCGCAGGCGCACATGCTGCGCTCAGCAGCTGCAAGTACTGCACCACACGCACATCCACTGCACTCAACAACTCACACTCAGTTGCACAAGCTACACACACACGTACACACACACTGCACTCAGCAAGCTGTGCTGCTCTGGGCATACACAACACCCATGCACACGCTGTATCGCAGGGTCACAGCATGGTGCCCCGGTGCTCCACGAACTCGTTGCACAACCTGGGGCATGCAGCGCTATGTACAGGCTGGCCACGGGCTCCCGGTGTGACCTCGAGGAAGTCACATAGTCTCTCTGGGCCTGGGATCTCCCCCTCTGAAATGGCGCAATGGAACACTCAACTCTTTGGGATGGAGCCTCACTTTCAATATATACAGTGCTTAACACAACAGAGCCCTGATCTCAGTAGCGGCATCGAGGTGATCAATGGGCCAGCCCAATGGTCTCCTGTTTATCACATCCTGCCTATATGTAACATAGAGAGAGTGCTTTTACAGCATAGATTCCTAGATTCGAAGGCCAGAAGGGACCATTGTGATCCTCTAGTCTGATCTTCTGCCTAGCCCATGCCAGAGAACGGCCCCGAAATAATTCCCAGGGCAGATCTTTTAGAACATCCAATCTTGATTTAAAAATTGTCAGTGATGGAGAATCCACCATAACCCCTGGTACATTGTTCCAATGGTTAATTACACTCCCCGTTAAAAACGGCAAAGAGTCCTGTGGCACCTTATAGACTAACAGACGTATTGGAGCATGAGCTTTCGTGGGTGAATACCCACTTCATCGGCTGCATGTAGTGGAAATTTCCAGAATAAATGGACACAAATCAGATATTAGGAATGGCAATATACAAAAACCTGTAGGAGAACACTTCAATCTCCCTGGCCACACAATAGCAGATTTAAAGGTAGCCATCTTACAGCAAAAAAACTTCAGGACCAGACTTCAAAGAGAAACTGCTGAGCTTCAGTTCATCTGCAAATTTGACACCATCAGCTCAGGATTAAACAAAGACTGTGAATGGCTATCCAACTACAAAAGCAGTTTCTCCTCCCTTGGTGTTCACACCTCAACTGCTAGAAGAGGGCCTCATCCTCCCTGATTGAACTAACCTCGTTATCTCTAGCCTGATTCTTGCTTGCATAGTTATACCTGCCTCTGGAAATTTCCACTACATGCATCCGACGAAGTGGGTATTCACCCATGAAAGCTCATGCTCCAATAAGTCTGTTAGTTTATAAGGTGTCACAGGACTCTTTGCCGCTTTTACAGACCCAGACTAACACGGGTACCCCTCTGATACTTGACCCATTAAAAACGTATGCCTTATTTCCAGTCTGAAACCTTCCCTTCACCCCCATCTGGGTTGACAGCAGGGTTTGAACCCAGAACTTTCTTGTGCTAAAAGTTCTGTTTGTAGAGCATCCTTTCATGGTTGGAGTGGCATAATAAGACCCCTGTGTGTGTGAAATTTAAAATAACCAAGCCTGCCACTCAGGAAATGCTCCATTAATGAAGTAGGATGAAAACTTGAGGGGGCCTTCTTTAAAAATTTGTTTATTTTTAGGGAGCCGTCCCCCAAATTGAAAAAAGACAAAGCCATTTGTAGGGCACCGATGTTTCTCTCTTGCTCTCTTCTCTCCCCCAGCTGGGGTCTCCAGCGGGAATGGAACCCTGGTGCTTCAACACTAAGAGCACAGGCTAAAAGAGTAGCTCCGTTAACTGGTAGTGGTAGTAGGCTCTAATCCTCTGTTTGGACCAGCAACTAGATGGGGAAGTGGCACACGGATTCACGAGCACATACAGGAGGCTGTGAAAATTGGGGCCTCCCGTTGGCCGCAGGAGGGGAGGCCCTGGGGATATGTTGGGCCCTCAAATGCCATTGCACTTTTGCGCAGCGCTGGTCTGTAGGGTGTGGGTTAGGGGAAGGCTGGGAGGTGCCATAATCAGTGCGTGAGTTCTCTGCTCTGTGTGTTGTGTAGGAAGCAGGCTTGGAGCTGGTCCACCTCGCGCTCAAGGCCAAGTGCTCATCAAATGACTTGGATTCATTGGTTTCCCAGTTGATTGATGACATCATCGCGGACTGCAGGTATTTCTGCCAAATTAAACTGTGAGCCTTTTCATGCGCTTATTACAAGAACATTTATTTATGTTGGAAGGGGCCTTGTGCTGAAAAATCCTGGTCATTTGCTAATGTTTACTTCAAAGGTTGTTGAGCCAAGGCACGGAGTTGAAAAGGTGACATTTAAAGCAGATCATAAATTTCCACTCTTTATGCAAGGGCTGCAGCCCGGCATACCTGAATAAGCCTCATTGTGTTGCAGCTTGAGCCATTGCAATAGATATGCTTCCAACTGGAATCTAGGGCTAGAAAAGAGCCGCCTAGAATTTACATTCGCAGATACTGTTGTGGTAGGAATGAACTTTTATGAAGCAGTGACTTCTCCTCTGGACGTATTGTGTAGGTGAGAGAGATTCTTGACTCACAGGACCATGGGAATTGCCAGACTGCATCCGACAAGTGTCTCTCTAGCCCAGTATCCTTCCTTCGACAGGGGCCAACGCTAGGTGCTTCAGAGGAAGGTGTAAGGACCCTGTCACTAGGCAGATATGGCAGAATCAGCCCCCATGAAGGTCTTGTCTTGATCTCTAATAATAGGAGATGGGTTCAAGCCCTGACAAAAGTTTATCTCCCTTTCAATACTCTTTTTTTAAGCATTATGTATTATAATCTTGGATATTCTTATTATCCATATAAACATTCAATCCCTCTTTGACTCTTCCTAAATTCTCAAAAACATCCTGTAGCAAGGCGTTCCACAGGTTAATTTGCAGCTGGAATGAAAAAGTAATCTATATTTTCATAAAGTTCTGCCAGGGGAGGATACACTTGGTTTCCATCCCCTTAACTCCGCCCTGTTTCAGGTGACACCAAACCGAACACACTGTTATGCTATCAATACAGGTAGGGCAAGATTTTCACAACTAAGGGCCCAACGTTTGGCTCCTTACTCTGTATTTAGGTGCCTAAATAAGTGCTAAGCACCCAACAGCCCCCATTGACTCTAGGGGGGGCTGCTGGTGCTTCATATATTTGAAAATGAGGCCACTTCATGTGGATTGAGGAGTCTCACTGTTGGTTCCTACTTTTGAAAATCTTGGTTTTTCTATACTTTTTCAAGGACAAAGTCCAAATATTGCCAGAGGAAGTTCTGTTAATGGAATCACCTTGTCCCAGAGGTGCTGGTTCTTCCCCTGGCAGTGGTCACAAAAAAGAGGTTTTTGTTTAAGTGAGTAAAGGGAATGAATAGATTTCCCCAGTCCCTTGTTGCCCATCTGCATAGCTCACACAGCCCGGGGAGAATATTAACAGCACATCACTGCTCGGTCAGTTTCTGGTTCTCTGGCACTTGCAGGGTGTTTCATTACTGATGTTCCAGCCAAGCAAAAAACTGGCGTTCTATCCCCAGATCTGCCACTGACTTGCTGTGGGACCTTAGGCAAGACACTCTGTGCATCTCTTTCACCTTTTCTCTGTCTTGTCTCTTCAGACCATAAGCTCTTCAGATCAGGAACTGTCTCTGTGTTTGTACAGCACCTAGCACAATGGGGCCGGGACCTCAGTCAGGCTTGGGGGTGCCACTGAAATACAAATAAGAATGGAAAGATCTCCATTCACATTCTGTTTTTAAAACAGAGCCTGAAACTGGGGCCTAACTGGCCCTTCATCTCCCCATCAAAGGGAGGGAATCCAACATTATGCGTGCATTTGAAAAACCCTAACCTTTCCCATTGAAGCATCTGATTTATATCATAATCAGGGAAGGCAAAGAGTCCATATGTTTCCCCTTAACAATGTGTCCTAGGTCCTGTGACCCGGACCTATTTTGCAGGTAGGCACCAGTAACAGAAAGGTCTGTTGGAAGAGCATTGTTGAAATATGAATGTCTGGCACAGACTTTTGTTGAATTTTATTTTCCAGTATGATTTGACTCTCTGTCTAAGTAGGTTTTTCCATGGCCCATGTCATCATGATATCTTGGGGCAGGGCTGCCCAGAGGGGGGGGGGGGGGCAAATGGGGCAATTTGCCCCAGGCCCCACAAGGGCCCCCACGAGAATATAGTATTCTATAGTATTGCAACTTTTTTTTATGGAAGGGCCCCTGAAATTGCTTTGCCCCAGGCCCCACAAGGGCCCCCACGAGAA